TAAGTCGATGCGAACGCTTCGTAATGCCGGGATGCCAGGTTCGATCCCAGCTGAGGGCCACGCGCCTGGCGTTGCTTTCGACAGTGGTATCAAGAAAGCCGACCGTCCAGAGGGCAATGGCAAACTACTGGACGTAAATTTGCCTAGAAAAACCACACAACAGCTAGGGGCTGTTGGGTTGGTTCCGCAACGTCCTGTAAAGGATACGCAACTAACCGACGTACGGTGGGTAATGTGGTCAGCATCATGCTCACCATTGTTACTTCCCAGGACGGTACCTGTACCCATTTGAGGCTGGATCTACCTGGGAACAAAGGTCATATTTGGAAAAAGAAAAAAAAAAGAAAGAAAGTCCGGCACTGTCTGAAGCCGAACCCACGACCTTCCAATCCGAAGGCGAGCGTCTAGGCGCAATGCCACGGCAGACCCTAAATATAGACTATAATAACAAAAAAATAGAACAGTTGCGCCTACCATGCAACGAAGTCATGCGTGTCTTGCAGATAATTACTGCTTCCAGAGCAGTCGCATGAGTAGCAAAACAAGCGGCTACAGATGCGATTGTCATTTCAGGCTCCAGAAACATGTTTCAGAATAACATAACATGTAGTTTACCGTTCGAGTGGGTAGAAAGCATTCGGAAGTCGCAGCTAACATTCATCTGGATCTACACACCCTGGGCATTCAGAAGTGAAAGGGGACGAAAGAGATGACCAGCTGGCAAGTTGACCAGCTGGCAAGTAATGCACCAATGGAAACAGAAAGAAGCAAGGGCAGGGCTATTATCAACGATCCACGGACCAGGTTTGGGATAATATTGAATCTCTGACGCAAACACGATTGCGTCACCTGGGAGTTAAGCTTAGTAAAATACGTCTTTACCGTAATCGAGATCAAGACAGGGGATACTATAACCAGCTTCTTATGGGAACAAAACGTAGAGGTACCCTGAAATGCCTGCTGCATTGAAGGACTTAGCACGCATGGGTTGCCCAATGTGCAAAGACTTCGATTGTGATAACATAACACAGTCTATGGCGTAGCAATAAAACATTAGTATTTACCCCTCAGTTCACACAGGCAGTATAAGCTAAGCCAGGGGAGACAATATATGTTTAACAAAACCAACGATCTTGTTATCAGTTAAAAAAAACAACAACAGAGGAGCGCTAAAAACGACAGCAACAGACATTAGGACAGCACTGCTCCCTCTTCCCACCCACACACACAGCTATATAATAACAAATCAATTCTATTCTTTAAACTCAAAAAAAGTTTTCCGTTGCAGAGTTAAATAACGAAGATACAAACAATGTACTGCATAATTTATCGCCTGGCATGTTTCGCTATGCTCTATAAAAGTGTTTATTTCCCATAATTATTAACACAATGACGAACGTTTCGCTTACGTCCTTCTTAGGACGTAATTTTCTGTTATTTAAAGCCCCACTCTGGCTTTTGACAGGGGCCGCAATATAGGCAGGCCGTCAATATGGCCAATTGTCTGAACGCGGTTTCTGAGACCTCTCCACGGTGATCCTCATCCGCATGATGGCACTTTGTGTCATCGGGTGTTTATCGCTTGTGTAATGTCCTGGTGGGGTAGAAAGTCAGTCAGTCAGTCATTTCCCACCTGTTTGTTATTTTAAGCCCCACTCCAGCTTTTGCCAGGGGCCGCAATATAGACAGGCTATAAATATGCCAAATGTCTGAACGCGGTTTCTGGGACCTCTCCACGGTGATCCTCATCCGCATGGTGGCACTTTGTGTCATCGGGTGTTTATCGCTTGTGTGATGTCCTGGTGGGGTAGAAAGTCAGTCAGTCATTTGCCACGTTCCTACTAATTCTAATTCTCTTACGTTGACCACTTTCAGCTAGGTCAGATCACATTGCTGCTCTCTTTCCTGTCTGCTTTATTTGTGGATACGTTTCTGGTCTTGATCTCATTTGGTTTCGGATTGTGTTTTCAGTATTTGTCGCTTGCTATTTGATGTGGTTTTCCGCTCGATTGTCTGCTGTCGTAACTTGGCTGGCCTTCTGCTGTGCTCCGGATCATTGGATGTTGAGTAGATTTTGTGTGGATTTCATTGGCCGTTTGCTGTTTCCGAGGAGAGGGGATTACCTGTCCTAAAAAGGACTGGCGGTTGCTTGCTTTGGGCAGGTATTGAAGGAAATAATGGTGAGGTCTGGTGTTATTTTGGTGGTCTTCTTGTGTCCTTGTTGTAAAGTGCTTCTCCTACATAAGGTTTAGGTAGTTTGGCGTTGGTGGTGTCGTCTTTGGCATAAATGTTTGTGGTAACGGTATCGACTTCGTTTGACTTCAGGTTTTGGCGGTCGGATCGGTTCTTCTGGTGATGACCATGGTACATCATCCTCTGGCAATTCTGGGTTAAAGTAGTTCAGATCCTCCAGCTCCCTAATGCGTTGATTTATTTGTAGAGTGGTTTTGTTCGGAAACTGCCCCATCAGCGGCGTCGGTATTTTCTTGTCTGGTAATTGATATGGCCTTTTCTGGGTCTCGGCTCCCTGAGGTTTGGGTGACTGTATTTGCTGCCTTCTTGCTGCTTCTTTTCATGCTTTCTCTCTTTCCTCAAAAACTCTGTTGGTTGCTTGTAGTTCCTTGCTTAATCTGTTGTTTTCTCTTCCTATGCTCTCCGCAACTTTTCCTCTGTTTCAGCAAGGGCTTTCTTGATCATTGTGATTTCTTTCGCGAGAAATTGCTGGGTCTCCCGCAAATCAGTGTCTCGTCTTCCTTCGCTTTCGTTGGCTGTTCCTTCTGTGTCTGGCTAATAGTGAGTGCATTCATGATGTCCTCCTTGAATTTCGTCATGTCTGTTGCCCTCCGTTTTTGGGTGTCAAGAGTCGCCTGCATGATAGCTCTCATGCTTGTTATTTCATCACTGTCTTCATCTCGTTGGGATTTGGATGCATCTTTCTCGTCTCTGAGAGCTTGGATGTCACTTTTGAGTCGAGCCATCTCGTTGTTCAGTTTGGTGGTGATAGCTGTCGTTATGCCTTTTGTTGCCTCGTGTCTTCTGCGGGCCTCATGATATAGAATCTTTCCCGTATGGCCGTGGTTGCTATGTCTCGGCACTGTTGCGGATAGGGGCACCCCAGGTGTCTGGCGCTGTGCTGGCCGTAGCAGTTTGCGCACTTTCTGCTCGGATTTGGAGACCTAAAGTCTGTGACCAGCTTTGCCAGAGGGCAGTTGTTGAAGGCATGTGGTCCTGAACAGTATCGGCATATATCTTGTTCGCTCACACAAGTGGCTCGGGAGTGCCAGGCTTTTTGGCAACGAGAGTCCGACCCAAGCTTGTCTGCCGGAGAAATATGGTGGCAGGAAATTCATGGCTGCTTGTCTTCCGTCTATCTGGAGATGTTTCTGGTGTTAGCCGTGTTGGTTCGGGTGACCCTGGAACGTCACCCAGGACCTCACTAGTAGTCGGGGCGTCTTCCTTTGATCCGGCAGTAGCTGTCTCCATCTGCCTGGATGCCGAATTGGATAGGGTGGATCGGTCAGTGGGTTTGTTTCCTCTGTCCATTGCGCTTTCCGTTGGGTTTATTTCTTCGAGACATGGTAATTATGGAGAAGGCCTCTCGCTCTGATGAATGCTTTAGCTCTGACGCTGCCTATCCTCAAAAGGACCAGCAGATATTGTATTGTGTTGTGTAGGTATCAATCCTACCTGGTGACGATTGCGGAGAAGTCCTCTCGCTCTGAAAAATGCTTTAGTTCTGTAGCTGCCTATCCTCAAAAGGACCAGCAGGTACTGTATTTGCAGGTATAAATACTATCTGGTGATTCGCTGACGACGATGCACGTTCCTACAACTTCCCGTCCTTTTTAGGATGAAATTTTTCGTTATTTGAAACCCTACTCTGGCTCTTGCCAGGGGCCAAAATATAGCCTAAAGACTGAACCCGGTTTCTGGGACCACTCCACGGTGATCCTCATCCACATGGGGGCACATTGTGTCATCGGGTGTTTATCGCTCGCTCGTGTGATGTCCTGGTGGGGTAGAAAGTCAGTCAGCCAGTCAGTCATTTTGCCACGTTAATACTTCCAGTCTTTTTAGGATGACATTTTTCGTTATTTGAAGCCCTACTCTGGCTTTTCCAGGAGTCGTAATATAGCCTGGCCATAAATATGTCCCAAAGGCTGAACGCGGTTTCTGTGACCTCTCCACGGTGATCCTCACCCACATGTGTTTATCGCTTGTGTGATGTCCTAGTGGGGTAGAAAGTCAATCAATCAATCAATTTTGCCAGTTCTTCTTTATGGAGCAGAATGCTAGCGAATGACTAAAAAGTATGCACACAAGCTGTTCATCTTCCACCACACCTGCTTACGTAGAATTACCATATTTTTTCTGGCCAGATACAACCTCAAACACTTAACTACTTAAAGTTATAAGTCAATAAACTTTAGACAGTATGATAACCAAGAGAAGATGGAAATGGCTTGGCCACGTTATGATAATGAATCCTGATATACCTGCCAAAACAGCTCTCACATGGATACCAAAAGGAAAGAGAAAAAAGGTGCGCCCAAAAACAACATGGAGAAAAACGATGGAAAGTGACCTGAGTGACCTGGAAAACTGCACTGAAAATTGCACAGAACAGGAAAGCATGGAAAGTCCTCTCTGAAGCCTCGTGTGCCACTGGGCGTAACGAGAACTAACGATGATGATGATGTTTTGCGGTACCTTGTCAGGTGCGCAATTACAGAGTTACAGGTAAAAATATTGAAGCATAGAAATTGTTCCTTTTAATTAAATACACATATTACATTATCAAGTTACATTTCACATGTATCCGCCGGAAACTTAAGACTATCCACGTGACTACAATGACATATTCAAATGTACCGCATGTTCTTTTTATCTACACACAGTGTGGGATTTCAGTTTTTGTTGAATAGATAAGCCAGGCAATAAATTGCATAATGTGTTGTTTGTGCCCGCACTTTTTAAACTGGTTCATCTTACCTCCACAGATTATCTTATGCTTGATAATGTACATAATCAGCCAGCCAACGGCCAAGAAAACGCAAGCAGTGATGACCGAGAAATTCGTGGAACTCTCCTGTGACATGACCCTTCCTGGTTTGGCTTCATTTTTGGTATACAACCTCCTCCTGGTTTCAGCTTGCGCTATATTCGCATTCAAGACTCGGAAACTACCAGATAATTTCAACGAGTCCCGGTTTATATCAATGTGTGTATACACAACTTTGGTCATTTGGCTAGCATTTATTCCGACTTATTTCACGGCAACTCAGGAATACGTCAAAGGAATACTTCTTTCTGTAGCCTTGTTGCTTAATCACACAGTGGCAGTGTCGTTTCTCTTTATACCAAAGGTTTATGCTTGTATATTTGTGGACCAGGAAACTTTGGTAACTAAACGGTTCAATGATGGTGGAACATCGCTTGACGTTCCTGCGACCTGCAGTCGGGTTGGTCCTGCAAGTAATAGTGATGTACCCCGAACAGGCTTTTGAATCGTTGTCGGTAAAGGTTTCTGAAGTCAATGTATTGAAGTTATGAAAAGCTACCGATCTTTCAATATCGTAAAATGGCTCTAGTCACTCGACCTAGTGCGTCAAGACGTCAGTATTTATTTATAGTGATAATAATCAACTGTCGTCACTACTTGTGTTTACAAAATACGTAAGGCAACAACAACAATGAGCAGATTGACAAAGAGAGTTTGTGAGAACAGAAAGCTCAAGATTAAAACTAAAACCCTTGTCTATCAGGCTTGTGTTCCCTGAACTCTTCTTTATGGCAGTGAAACTTGGCCAGCTTATTTATACCAGGAGAAACGGCTAAATAGTTTAGCATTGAGTGGCAAACCAAGAAAACTGAGGTACTGAAAAGACCAGGTATCACAAGGTGTCTCAATGCTCGGTCTCTCGATGCTCAGGTGGCTGGGCCACACATGGAGAACGGAAGATAGTAGAGTGCCAAAGGACATTCTCTATAAGTAATTACATTTGGGTAGAGTATGTCTGTTGCGGTCGGCCTCTTCTGCGATCCAAAGACGTGTAAGCAGGACATGAATGATACAGGTATTGGAAGAGATTCATGGGGACAAAATGTCATGGGCCGTGTTGCGGGGGGGGGGGGGGGGGGGGAGTGATCATGAAAGGGGTGGGAATTAAAAAAACCAAAAAAATTATGAGATAAGGCTGAGAAGATGCAGACTAAATACATGAGTTAACAACGGCCCTGAAATCTCATGCTCTAATTGTGGAAAGACATTTCTTAATGTGAGTGAGTCTTGCTAGTCCCACTCTCCCTCGAATGTGATTCCCATGCCCCCCTCCCCCTTATAGCACAATATGACAGTATCGTCTGGAAAGACGGAAAGGTACCAACAAGTTAGGGTGCTGATGGATCTAAGGTTCATAGGCCTAGGAATTTAGGGACGCAAGCCTAGTGTAGTCTCCACGGACTTTGTGGAAATGGACAATTTTATTTTGTTCAAAGGATGAGGGGACCCAACACTTTGACCACGATTCGAACCTAGATCTTTTCAAAGAAAGATACACATTCTTAGCTGCTTCTAGAGAGCCGCCGAGGTGTACCAGTTAGAGGCTCACCTGTGGGTCCGAGGGTTGAAATCAGCTTGGAGCTAGGAGTTTTCGTACATGATCTTGGCTCCCAGGTCGACACAGCTTTAAATGGGTGCCAGATAAAGTCCTTGGAAGTAAAGGCGGCCGGCGTGATAATAACCACCTCACCAATCGAGGTCTATACAAATGTAAGTCCAGCCCCGTATGCCACTGGTGTGTAGAGGGACCTTGACTTGAATTACTCGACAGTCGCTTCTATATTAATAGTGACAACTTGTAATAGGAATAAGTCCTCATGCTCATCATGTTTGTTTGTTTGTTTTAGTATCCAGAAGTCATGAGTTAACCCTTGGGCTCAGTATTATAGATATCACAACCTTTCAGCGTTGATTCCATTGTAAATACTGTCAATCTGGGAGAAATGTGGCTTGTCTGCCTACCCCCGGGAGTGAACCCGGACCACAAGCAGTTCGTCACCCGGTCACCGCACAATCCGGTTTGGCCAACTACGCTAGAGAGCCGGGCCATCCTCATCATAAGAATGTGCCGCTGCAACTATATCAGTCATGCACTCAGAATAGATAAGACAAGACTTCCCCAACAAGCCCTCATATGGACAAGGGAAGGGAAAGGAGGAAGACCAAGAGAGACACTAAGTAGAACCTTCATCAGGGAAGGCTCAACCATGGGCTTAACAAACATCAAAATGGATGAACAACCAGGACTTTCTGCCCGAGCTTACAGGCGGTGAACAAAAAAGGAGACAACCAGTGTTTATTATCACAAGGTCTGACAATTAGGTAATGAGACTGATTTTATTACGGCCAAGACAAATGTGCCATCTATGAAGCAAAGCATGGAATCCAAAGAGGCAACCTTTATCTATGATCTGGCAACATTTTTTTGCCGCCTTATAAGCACACGACAAATAAGCCGCCATTTTATTGACCTAGATAGATGTGCATCGTTATGAAATCAGCATGGAGCAAAAAAACTAAATTCTGTTTAAAACTCAGAAAAAGTGCCATTGCAACAGTTCATTTGATGCCACAAGCTTATGGAGATAATTGTTTATCTACTGCACAGATTTTCAGGTGGTATTCACGATTCAAAAGTGGTGGAGAAATGATTACTAATGCAACTAGACCTGAACATCCAATTTCTGTTTGTAATGATGAACTCATTGCAAACGCCACAGTACGGATACAAGAAGATCGTTGTTTTACTGTCAGGATGATGGCAAGTGAATCTTGTGTTAAAAGAGAGACTCTTCGTAAAATTTTAGTGCAAGATTTAGGCCAGAAAAAAAAATGCTTGCAGGTTTGTACCGCTTTCGTTGTCTGATGACCAAAAACATCAGCGGGTTGAGTACCCACGAGACGTCATCAGAACAGGAGTTGTTGGCTCCAAAACAAGTGTGTGTTTTCAACCATCCACCCTATTCAGCAGATTTGTCTCCATCTGATTATTTTCAAATCCCAAAATTAAAGTTACCATTTAAAGGACGCTTCTTTGAAAAAATTGATGCTTTCCAAAGGGTCATAACGTCGACTTTAAGGGCCATAGCAACAAAAGAACTACACAGGTCGTTCCAATGTTTGTTAGATCGTGCTACTCACTGTTTCAATGCACAAGGGGCTTACTTTGAATAAAATACAGGTTATATCTTCAACTAATGATTTTTAAAATTTGTATGGAATTAGTCTCATTACTTAATTGTTGGACCTTGTACATCATTGATACAACTTTCAGTTCCATGAACTGACCAAAGATTTGACTTTGAACACAATTTGTCTCTAATATGCATGATAAGCTATTCACAACATGCACAAATCATACAAAAATAATCAGTGAGATATCATCTAAATGTTACAGACGGGGTCTAAGAATATCATGGGTAAAGAAAAGAGCAAATGCATTCTTACTTGAAGAATTGAATACTGAAGAAGGTTGGCTATTAAAGACGATAAAATACACAAAAATTGAAATATTTTGGTCACTTGAAACTTCACGAAAGTTTAGAGAGAACAATAATGTAGGGGTATATACCTGGAAAGAGAGGAAGAGGAAGGCCAAAGAGAAGATGGGTGCAGGATGTGGCGGATGATATCCAAATGGGTGCATCAGATGCGGATCATCTTGCTTGGAATTGAGAAGTTTTCCCAAAGATTGTTATGGGAGCAAAGGTTACTGGTTGACTAAGATGCTATCTCCTCATTAAAGGATGGCTGCAATTAATCTCCAATGCTGTCTGTCTCTTATCAACCGATCAAGTACCACCTTCAAAATGAGGGATGGCTGCAATTAATCTCCAATGCTGTCTGTCTCTTATCAACCGATCAAGTACCACCTTCAAAATGAGGGATGGCTGCAATTAATCTCCAATGCTGTCTGTCTCTTATCAACCGATCAAGTACCACCTTAAAAATGAGGGATGGCTGCAAGTGATTTTTAAAATTTTTTTCATTCCTTCCTTCCAAAGGTGTCAGTTAAAGACCCAGACAAGTGCCACATCCAAATGAAGGATGGCTGCAAATAATCTTCAGAACTATCTATACCTTTCCTGGTTGTCAACTGATGATGAAGCCATGAAGGATGGCTGCAAATAATCTTCAGAACTATCTATACCTTTCCTGGTTGTCAACTGATGATGAAGCCATGAAGGATGGCTGCAAATAATCTTCAGAACTATCTATACCTTTCCTGGTTGTCAACTGATGATGAAGCCATGAAGGATGGCTGCAAATAATCTTCAGAACTATCTATACCTTTCCTGGTTGTCAACTGATGATGAAGCCATGAAGGATGGCTGCAAATAATCTTCAGAACTATCTATACCTTTCCTGGTTGTTAACTGATCAAGTACCAGCTCGTCCATGAAGAATGGCTGCAAATAATCTTCAGAACTATCTATACCTTTCCTGGTTGTCAACTGATGATGAAGCCATGAAGGATGGCTGCAAATAATCTTCAGAACTATCTATACCTTTCCTGGTTGTCAACTGATGATGAAGCCATGAAGGATGGCTGCAAATAATCTTCAGAACTATCTATACCTTTCCTGGTTGTCAACTGATGATGAAGCCATGAAGGATGGCTGCAAATAATCTTCAGAACTATCTATACCTTTCCTGGTTGTCAACTGATGATGAAGCCATGAAGGATGGCTGCAAATAATCTTCAGAACTATCTATACCTTTCCTGGTTGTCAACTGATGATGAAGCCATGAAGGATGGCTGCAAATAATCTTCAGAACTATCTATACCTTTCCTGGTTGTTAACTGATCAAGTACCAGCTCGTCCATGAAGGATGGCTGTAACCGATCTTCAAAATGATCTGTACCTTTTCCTCGTTACCCATTCAAGTGCCTCTCCACAATGATGAATGATTGCAACTGATTTAATAAATATCCCTACTTCTCATTATCAACCAATCAAGTGTCCCTCCACATTAAAGGATGGCTGTAAGATGTGTTTTTACCGAAGAATGCTTAGAATACCTTGGACAGCCAAAAAGAGCAACCAAGAGGTTTTGAAAGAGGCGGGAGCCCGAAGACAACTTATCACAGACATCAGAAGGAGACAGTCATCATTTTTCGGCCATGTTATGAGAAGAGGGGAAATAGAACATGTTGTGACCACTGGAAAGATATGTGGAAGGAGAGATAGAGGTAGACAACGAGAGAAGATGCTTGACAGTCTTGTTGCATGGCATGGAGGTGTGTCGGCACACGAACTGATACATGCTGCAGGAGATCGCAGATTATGGAGAGGCATGATCGCCCACGCCAGTCGGCAAGGCACCTGATGATGATGATGATGTAATAGATTTCCAACATGTTCAACACTTCTCGTCTTAGTTGCATACGCTTTCTGCATGCCCATAATTCACTGCTTTCTGATGTTTCTCAATATGTACAAA